TCAGCGCTGAAGAGACAATCCTCATTGCAAATAGTTTGCAGTTTGCCATTGGCATTCAAATACCTATCAAAGAAAATTAAGAAATCGTTAGTGTACCGGAATGAAACAAATCAACAGCCGTTAACGCTTAACGTCATTAGAGTGCTGCTGTGGTTGCTGCTTGTTCTATTTACCGGCGCGATGGTAATTGTTTATAAATGCACACAGCACTTTGCAATTGTAACACCACTCGCCGCTACTAACTACTCACTTGTTGTTGCATGTATGCAAGGCATAACGTCCGCCCTCCTCTGCGCGGAATTCCAATGTAAATAGCGTATCTTCACCCCATGGAATATTCGCATCGACATGTATCTCATCTTGTGATTCGGACAGATGAGCGAAGCGCTTACGTCCAATCGAACGCAAATTCACTTGTGGCCTAGCAGCCAAGTGTACTGTCCAGAACTCGCTGGCGCTAGGAGTTTTAGCGGTACATACAAGTTTGTCGGGTGTACCGCCAAGGAAATAACCACGTGATTCGTTCTTTAATGCCCAACGGCCAGTGCCATCCTCACTGATGCTTATCTGGAAACGACTGCCGGCGTCGCGTTCATCCGTCTCGCATAGCACATTGCCAAACGTATCGACCGATAGATATTTATTAAGATGAGATCGTAGATATATAATACCTGTAAGGAAGCATTAAGAGTGAAAGGTTATAGGTGAGCATGACGGTATATCCGGGAACGTTGTATTAAGTGGTTGTGATTCTGTTTAGTATAGTATATAGTATTAGTTAGGTATATATATTCAGACCCAAGAGGTTAGATAATACATTAGAGTCAGAGATCCATAAAGGGTTGTCATATGAGGCCTTGAAAGCCAGAGTATATTAATTGGCATTTCAAAAAAAAATTGAGGCGCAGCTTAAAATACAGAATACAGAGTAGAATCGAAACAGTAATAGCTCCACACGCCCTTTTGTCAAACAAAGTTCCTCTGGCACGCTTGCACTTAGTTTAAGTAAATTGATAAGATAAGCTAAATATTGCAATATGGGTCTCAAAAGAAAGATGTTTAAGTAGGGCTACAACCGATAATATTTTTGACGCCGGTTAGAAAATTTTAAATTATTAAAATCGACGAGATAAATTACACTATACGGCAAAATCAACTTTTTTTTCTGTGGCTTGGACCAAACCAATTTTTTTAAGAGATTGAGTCACAAGTAAAGGAGTAATTTCTCCGTTTTGCGATGTAAGCCTCCGAAATCGAAATATGGGCCTTTGAAGTTCGAAATTGGAAAATAAAAGTACGGACATTATCCGCATATGTGGCGTATAATTTTTTTTGTGCAAACTTATATTACGGGTGCTATATGGAGTCAAAGACCAGGTTCAAAATTTTCTGGAAAAAAATTTTTAATTTTTCGAAGACCAGATCTTTGACCGCTGAAACCTTTGATTCAGAAATATGTACATATCTTCATCTTTTTTGTTTTGATAGTCCATCTCACAATACCTAAAACTCCTAGTTATACCGCTGGCGTCTTGGTAATTTTTAACCAAAATTACAAAAATTTTTTTCTTGCTGTATCAAATTTGGTAATTTATTTTTCAGTCTGATAACTTTTCCGATTCGGTCCTACATGTTGTAGAGTAGATTATCTCCTCCCATTGGTGAATACAGGCTCGTTCTAATTCCATATTAGTAAGTGGCCCTTCATTCATTTTTAAACGTAAGAGCAACGATGTGCGTTTCCTCTTACAGAAAGACCAAGTAATCATGGAGGTTGTTCCAGTTTCATTGGCTTATAGAATGGTATGATCCCTAACAAACTGTTTACAAGCTATATCCGTATGAGTAGAATTCTATTATTTCTTGGTCATAACTGGACAATTGTAGATTTTCAAGTGCTTCGAAGTTTGAGGTTTATTCGCATAAAACGGCCATCCGAGTAGCTTCATAAGTAGTCTAACGGTGTCAAGTCGGATGATTTCGGTGGCCAAATGATAATCCTCTGTGGTAATGAAACGTATTCATGACACTGTGAAAGATCAGATGCCTTGAGTTGTTTTAGGACAAATCAGTTTCTTAGCCCTTACTTAAGTTTCAAACTCTCATTTTTGGTTTGCTGGCGTTCGGCGCTCACGCAGACTAAAAAGTCATAGCAGAATGAAGCGTTAGAAACATGAAAAGCGCTGATTGACTGAAAAGCTTGGCACCTTAAATAAGTTTGGTAAATTTTTGTCAAATTTGTAACTATTTCTGGTGACGTTGGTAAAAAATAAAAACATGTTGTGGCAACACTGGTTATTACTAAAGCTCTTTAAAATTATTTTGTATTTTATGAATGACTGCAGCTATCTAACCCACATTTGCTTTACAATTTTAGTAGCATGGTCGTTTTTGTGTGAAGGTGGCTTTTGAACCGGTCTTTGAATTCAAACGCTTTTATTAAAATTCAACTTTTGAATATGAAGCGATGTTTTTGGATTGTGCGACATTAGCGTGAAATATCGAGTACGAGTTCTCTCTCACAAACGGGTAGGGCTGCAGAGCAAAAACTTCAGTAGTAACTCACCAACCAGCGACAGCAGCTGTGGAGATTGCTTCGGATGTTTGTGGAAAGGCTACGATCGGTAAAATAGCCTAAGTAAGTAGGCAATAATGATCCAGAGCCAGAGTTTGAATACCGATCGCGGCATCAGATCCAGCGAATATCACCATTCCGCGAAATAGACAACGATGTTTCCTAGAAAGTAGTACCAGTTCCGATTTTGTGAAGTTTACTACCAAACCACCAACTTTACACTTAAACTGCATCAAAAACAACGGCAGTAAAATCAACTTTACATATTTATATACATAAATCAAAGATAACTACTCACCGGCTAATTGGTTCAGTGATAAACAAATCATTTATAAAATAAACTAAACTCAAAAGAATGCCCCTCGGGGTTTACAAGTATCAAGTCAAGTACGAATTTCCTGAAAACAAAAAAAAATACCGACAGTTGCTTAATTACTTCGCTGGCAGAGAGATGGAGATGCACCGACATACATACATACATATGTACATATGTAATACTTACGGATGTTTATGCGAGATACCCACATTGCTAGGTACTTGTAAATAATTGACACGCTTTTTCACTTAAATTAATTCAGGATTTACGCCGAGCACAGCTGAACTAGGGATGCTTTTTAGCAATTGAGAATGAATGCACAATGTTCATTGCGCGAAGAATCGCCAGTCAGTAAAATGCAATTGTGTTTAAAGTAATGAAGGTATAATGCGATAAGAAAATTCTACTATAACAACAACAAAAACAACCACTACAAAAGCAAGGAAACAACTATGGACTTTGGCTGCATTTACAAAAGAAATGCCGTTGGGTTCTTAAGCAAATTGAAAGATGCGCAAATTGTACGCGAAAAAAGAGGCTGTGTAGATAAAACGCCTTACAAATGATTGGCGTAAAAATGCAGAAACTTTGTGTGTGGGTATATATATTTACGCATACCCTGCAGGGAAACCCCAAACTAATGTACCAAATTTCTGGTTCCGTACTAGACCCTTATCGCCAAAAACGAACCATTCCGATAGTAACTAGTTCCCCACCAGTTCTAAAGTAGCGAAATGTAGTAGGTTTAAAAAATATTTATTTTTTTTTTCTTTTTAAAACTACATATCACTTGCTAAGTCCACTTTTTCTAAAAACTTATATTTTGATGCAATTGGAAAACCAAACCATAGGAAAACTAAAAAGATAATGTTTGAAAGAGAAAAAAAAACCTTGTTACCGAGTTGTCAGTCGATTTTAGAACTGGCTCGAAACTATGGAAAAAGTGATGCAGAGCAAACTAGATCCCATCTTTCGAATATGGGACTGGTTCCGAACTATAGAAAAGGTAAACCAGCGGTGGATAATTTCCACTTGCTAGGACATCGCGTGTTAAATTCTAAGAACTAGTGATTTTCCCACAGGGTATGTATGTCTGTACATAATAAGAAACAAGAAATAAATCATAGTCTGAGCCTGCATCTGAATCTCTCACAACGACTCAAGAACTTTCAAGTTGCAACATAAACAAATTGGAAAAAAGTGAAAGAGGGGCAAAAGGTCAGCCGCTGTTGGTGCATTTATGGGTTTACGTTGATGAAATTCCGACTGTTTCTGTTGTGAATGGAACAACGTTTGGAGATTGCCAGTCACGAAAATAAGCCAAATTTTTAAAAACAAGAATACTACCTATCTTGCTGTAGCTGTTGCTACGTTACGTTTTTTATGTTTTTTTTTTTTATCTGGCAATAGACTCTGAATACGACGATGCTGCTAATTGCACTATGCTTATAGTTTCGTTGTTGCCTTTAGTTTCATCATTTTCGCTTTTGGTTGAAGGAAATCAAGAAGATGCCATTAGTATGATCTCAAATATCATATCATTGGATAAATAAAAAATTCCTTAAAAAATCTTAAGTTTTATGGAAATAACATAAAAAAAGAACCAATCTATAGTTTTTATTTAAATGACTAAAAAAATAATTTTTTAGATATTCTCCAGATTTGGTAGATTTTTTTTTCAACTGGGTTGTAAGTACTTTTATCGTCAGTGGCAACCCTGGGTGTGAGTATTCTCGGCATATTTCTTATGCCAATTATACATATAAGAAGGCTTAGAATGGACTAGACGCTAATGCAATCAATTCTGCCACGTAGCATGCTAAGGCTTTTATAGATGTGCTACCCGAGGCATTAGTAAATGCGGGTGAGTAGAGGTACCCCGGAGGCTGCGGTGGCGTTTAAACAATTCTGCTAGCTGCAGCTTGTTATTAATACTAAAAATGTGGAGCTCGTTCTTCCCAGCTACCCTTGATCGGCCGTGGTCCGCATGTATTTCCTGACAGGGTCAAATATTTGTTCTTGAATCAAGCCGACAGTAAGTTATCATGGAAGCCAAATATTGAAAAGTGGTTTGAAAAAGGCATCAGTTATCCTATGCCGCTTCAAAGCGTGGAAGATATGAGAACTCTCTTCAAATGTAATCTTGTGGCTATATGGAACCATATTGCTGGAATCAGCGGGCGCTCCAAAGTACCACTACTATTGTACTCACAGCCTTGCTTTGCGTCGTATCCGTAGAAATTGCGATTAAGACTGTGGAAGTGGATCTGCCATCAGGCTTAGAAGCACAATTTTTTCTTCAACTTTCATACTGTACCTGTAGAAAAGGATCGGTGCGTATCGAGGCTGGCTCCGAACGGATCTCTTACTACACTCTTATCTTTTAAGGGAGAAATGAGAGAGCGGCCGCCTCAGGAATATATGTCCAATTAACATCTTCACGGATGAGCCTAAATATCTACTCTGATAACCAGGCGGTAATCAGAGCTCTATTTTCACTCATGGTGGGATCAGGGCTGGTCGGGGAACGTCTGACCTCTCTCTCTCTCGATCACCTCGGTCTACTTCGAAGTGGTACTGATTTGCGTTCCAGGACCCGGTGACATTGCAGAAAACTGTATTGCATTGGCTAGGCAAGGTACCTAATTTGGGGTCATCTTTCCGGACCGGGGGCCCATAAAAGTTCCAGCTTGTAGACTACTTCTGGACAGCTGAACTTAATATCGGCTCCAGCTAGTACTAGGAGAACTAACTGATTTCTATTAAAAATAATTTGAATATAAACTT